GCCTGTAGGCCAACCCGGTCTTCAGAAGGAGGCAGCACCACTGCCCTTGCAAGTAAGAGGACAGGGTCTCAGGCAGCTGTTCTTTAAGAATCCAAAGCAAACTCGCAACCCTACCTCCCGCATGCAACTGAAACTCTCTTGAGTCACTGCAGCTCAAAGCTATAGAGTGACCGAGGACGGTGTCCTTCTGTCACCAAGCCGCGCAACTTCTGCAGTTGCTTCGACCCTTTCCAAGTGAAATCCCCCTCCTTCTGGCTAGAGGCTCACTCAGCCCGACCTCCTCGTAGGGCCCCTCCCTTCGCCTGCCCCCCAGCCGGGATCCGATCCTTGCTCTCACTCTCTTGCCGCCCGGCAGCTATGAGCTTTGCCCCCTTGCACAAAAAATGTGTTCTCTTTCATTTGCGGATTTAATAAACAAACGTAACCATATCACACGAGGCTCCGCGCCGTCCTTCTGAAAGCAATTCTGCTGTTGAAAACTGAAAAATGGGTGTAATTTGCGTTCAGAAAGTGATGTTAGGGTCACCGCAATTTCCCGGGCCGTTATTTATTTTTACTTTAAAGTCTTTAGGGAAGATTTGCTTATATACTCGGAAACTTTCCAATGCGAGGGTACAAGCAATCCCGCTCGCCTTCAACGCGGGGGGGACGGGGGTGGAGAACAATTACTGAGTGACGCTAATATGGGGAAACTGAAAAGAAATGTCTATTGTTTTTATTGTAACAGAAGGAGTGCGCAAACAGAAAAACCAACCCCGGGTGATCGGAAACAGGCAGGCGGAGAATTAAAAGCGGGTTTCAGGCGGCAACAGGCCCCTCCCCTGCCCTAGGAAGGAGAAAGCGGGCCAGGAGCGCTAGCAGCCCCGGGGCCGATCCCTCGGCCCGCGCGCTCGCGACTGGCGGCTGGCGGACCCGCTGCGCGCCGGCAGGAGTTTTAGCTCTCGGGCCTGACCCTGCCGGCTGTTGCCCTCGCTACCTGGCGGAGCTGGGGAAAAGCTCTTGAACCGTGAGGCTGTCGGCGGGAAGGCTGAGAGGCTGGGAGGCCGTGGCGACTCTTGGAGCATCTTCTGGCTACGCTCGGCCGCTCTCGGGAGTGTCTAGTCGCATTTCCAGCTCCGCGAAGTCCAGGCCGGCAGGTCAGTGTGTGGCGCTGCCCGCGCGCCTGGCTGGTCTGAGGGTCCTCGCGCTGTCTCTTCCCCAGCCGGGTGCTAGGCTGTTCCTTTGCCGCTGCCCCGCCCGCAGTTCCACGCGCTGGTCGCGCGGGGCTGGCAGCCCATGGAGTACCCTCCCTGGCCTTGGGCGCGGGGCGCGCTTCCGGCTGCCACGTGCGGCCGTGGTAGCTGGGAGGCCGAGTGGGCGGAGGAGCGGCCGCTGACCCTGCGAAGCCAGGGCCTGGCCGTGGGCCGCTGGGGATTGGAGCCCGCGCCCCCGGCGTTGGCAGCGCGGTTTGGTGAGATCTGGAGAAGCCGGGCCTCTTGCTGTCTATGCCACGCGCAAGTCAGCACTCGCCCTCGAAGAAACTCCCCACTCCCGTGGGCGAACTGGACCTGAGGTCTTGCCTCTACCGCGTTTCTTCGTAGACCGCTGAAAGAGGTCATTCTGCTCTGAAAACCCCTTGTCCTGGAGCTCGGACTCCGGCTGCCATGGGATCCCCGAAACTCCCCCGGGTGATCGGGAGGCTAGCAGGTCGCCTAGGGTCCTGTCTGTCCCCAGCAGGTTGGAAGAATCAGACCATTACTATTCTCCTCCGCCAGCTCTGCTCCTCAGAATTGCTACTGGGAACAGCAGGACCCCCCCACCTCCGGCGCGCACACACGCCTCTCTCCGGCCATACCCTCCCCATCCGCAGTTGTTGCCGACCTACAGACCCAGCGAAGGGAGCGCCGGGAGGAGCAGCCCAGATGGGTATGCAGGTCAGAGAGCGAGCCGACGGCGCCCCGCACAATCTGCAGCACCGGGTCAGGCCGCGCGCGGGAGGGCTCGGAAGGAGCTAGATTCTTATTCCTTTCAGGCATCTCTCCTCAGACCACGCTGGGGTCAGGAGGGGGGCGTCGCAGGTGACTGCCCGCGGCACTGGGACCGCTGACAGATTTATGGAGACTTAACAGCATCTGGCCTGGGCAGGGCGCGAGTCCAGCCGAAGAGGCGCGTTGCGAACTGAAGCTCCCGCAGCCGCGCGCTCCAGCCGAGCTGCCCCTGGTGTCCTGGGCCCTGGCTCCCTTCGGGGGTGTACCGGTGCATCACGGCCAGCGCGGAGCGTGCGGGTTCCCCCACGCGGTGGAGACCGCTCCTTCACACGCTCGGCCCGGCCAGCTTCCAGTCTCCCACTGAGTAAATATTTACCCAGAGAACGGGTCGCCCCTTGGAGGAGGCCTCGCCAGCGCGAAGGGAAGGGCACTTGGCTTCTCCTCGTCTGAGTCATCTGCAGGCCCTACTGGTTGTGTTTTGGTTTTGTTCTTAAATTTCCCCTTTTAATCGAAATTCTTCCGACCCCTGTGTGTATGATCTCCTGGGTCCAGAGCGGGCAGTAACCACGGGGCGCTGACCCCAGGTGACCCTTGCTTTTTCACAGTCCTGCATCCCTTCTTCGCCCACCGTTTGGCCTTGCTAGTCCTCAGCGTTCTCTCCGTCTCACCCACATCCCTCCAGTCAGTTACTCAGCGGCTTCGGACAAGGCCATCTCTCGCTCGGGCTCAGCATGCGGCGGACTACCTCCCTGCAGCACTCGTGAGGCCCCCAGGAAGATTTAGCATCGGTCGCATCCGCTGGGTCAGGCTACCTCCGCCTGACCTCTGCGGCTTTGTCCCCTCCTGCTCCCAGAGTCATGTCAAGATGCCCCAAAGCACCGAAGATTCCGAGCGCACTCTCGAGAACTGGCGAAGCCGAGAGAGCTAACACCTGCACCCGCTCGCACGAGGGCATCTGCGGGGCTGGGGCGGGGGGTAGGGGGTGGGGATGGCAGGACGCGGGCAGGGACTGCCGGAAGCTACCTCTGCGCGCCTAGCGAGTCGGCGGCGGCTGAGGTCAGGCGCCGGCACAGGCAAGTCCAGCAGGTGGAAACGGAGAGATGGTAGCGGACCTGTGCGAGGGCGCGGGAGATCTGCGGCAGCTGAGGGAGTAAGGGGCAAACGACAAGGAGTTGCGGATTAGGTCGCTTGGCCAGAGCTCTAAGTCGTACAAGTCTTAAGATACCGTGGGCTTGTGTTGTAGGACTGCTAAAGCCCTCAAACAGCCTCCAGCCCCTCAGCAGTGCACCGAGGCTTCCCTTGCCAGCCGGAAGGCGGACAACAGCCTTTTAGCAGTATCGCAGCCCTGCAGAGTCCACGAGGCGCTCACTGGGCGCATGAAACCGACGCGCAGGGTCCGCGCAAGCGTAGATACTCACAGCTTGTGTCTGCGGGAGGTGTGTGGGGGAGTTTGGGGGGATTCCGGATCAAGAAGCCGAGAGAGTTCATTCCTTCCAGCAAGCCTAAAGCAAAACCATAAATTGTCCTCAGATGTCTCGAAGCCTCAGCTAATTTGCACTCCAACCCCAAGAAAGAGCCGCTGCTTCTAAAACCTTGGTTCTTGAAGACCCTCGGTGTTGTAAAGGGCCAGGTGGTGCCACACAACAGGTACTGGGGGTCAGACCAGGACGAAATTACTATCAAGTCAAAGTTCGAGAAGATTTTAAACATTTAAAACCAAGTTCAAGGACAAAAAGCCAAGCAAAAGGACAAGTTCAAGTATTTCTAGATATGGAACTTTTCACAAGATCCTGATTATAAAGCATTAAGGGTGTTTTTTCATCCACCTTTCTTTTATCTCTCAAATCCTTCGTATCTCTGAATTTGAACTTGGAGTGCACTCTCACCATTGAAACGTGGTGGATCACTGTTAGTTTCAAGAAGCACAGCTGATCATTAGTTTTTTCTGGGTTTCTGTCACTTACTGGCCCGGGATCTGGGCCCACTCAGTTTCCCTGTGTGTAAGACCCTAATCACCACACCCCTCGGGATTGTTGGAGGGTCAGCCCCAATTCTGAGTACACAAGAAGGAGCTTTGTGACAGTCAAGTAGAAGTAGCAGTACAAACTCCCAAATTCATTTTCAAAAAGCTCTTCATTCTTGTTTTTTATTTTGATTTATTTTCTCCACAACCTATACTCAAGTTATGAATAACTTTGGGATCCAACAGGCGTATTGTACACTTTAGATTTAGAGCGAACGAAAGTGAAAATGCAGAACTAGGTAGAACCTCAAGGCCTCTAGTAGCTAAATGGAAGATACAGGAATTACACACGTGTGCAGGATCGGTGCTTACCTTCTTCGAACCAAGGCGCTTTCATATTTAAACAAAACCCCTTAGGTGGCTCACGTGGGGGTGGCAAACGCCTAGGCCAAGGACCAGAGGACCAGCACTATGGCTGAGCGTGGTGGAGGGCAGGCCTCAGTGGTGAAAGAGCACCACTCACCCGCCATCAGTCGACGTTGGGCTGTGCGATCGCTTGTAGTTAAGTTCTCGGTACACGCACGGTCCCTGCCTTGAGCCTGCGTGGCGAGGGTTGGCCCTACGCTCCCGGATGAACCTACTAGGGGACCGCCGCGGGGAGCGGACCGCCAGAAGGCCCTGTTCTGGCTCGGCCTTCCCACGACCTCTGCGTTTCTCCTATGGGCCTACCTTCTTACACCTGCGCTCTCGCCACCTCGCGTGGACTGGAGTGGGATAGGATTGGCCGGTGACGCGCTGCCTTCCTGCCAGCCTCTTGGAGGATTGCATGACAGGCTATTCTAAGATCCGTCTTGTAACCCGTAGGCGCCCACCTCCCACCTAGAGTCTTAACTTCAATCCTGAGACGTCCGTCATTTCCCCAGTATCCTCGGCCCCTTCCCCCTTCGAGTCACTCATATTCGGACCAAACGCTCTAATTTGCTTATTTCAGCGTTTTTACCAGCCTGATTTTGCTGTCTGTTTACGCCGCCTCTGGGAACATGTCAAACACCCATTTTCATTGTATTTAGTCACCCAGGTGCAGAACAAGTCTGAAAGAGACAACGGAAGGAGTTTCCCGTACTGCGCTGTCGCTCAACGGCTCACACCAATCACAGCACAGAGTGCCCTCGTGCCCGCCTCTTTGGGGGCGTGTCCCTAGTGAGTGATAGACGGAGCCGCCCGGCCCCGCTCAACCCAGCCCACGTTGCTGCTTAGATTGAAATGCAGAACTCAAGCCTCTTTCATCCCGGCACAGACTTCCTTTTACTCCTTCCTTTTGCACTCTCGCCGCCTCCTCTCGGGGAGAAGCGGAGTCACCGGCGGCCTGGGGCAACGATAGGCCGGTCCACTGAGGCCGTGCGAAAAGTTTCTTTCTGGGAGAACGGAACAGGCGCCCCGTTGGTGTACTGCTCGGAGCAATGGGTGAGTGGCGGCGGGGGACGCTGTCAGAGCCGGAGGGAGGGAGCGAGCGAGCGAGCGAGACGGCGCGGGAGGGAGGGAGGGCGCGGGCACGAGGGCGCGCACCACTGAGCGCTCACACTCTCCTTATAGACTTTGTTCGTTTTCCTACAAGTAGTAGGAACACTGTAAGGGTGAGCGGTGCACAGCAGTTCCTTCTGACTGTTGGTTTCTGCGATGTTGTTGATGCTGTTTTCTGATTTTAAGAGAAGGGAGCTGTGGCATCAGCGAGCCCCGCAGCCCCAGTAGCAGACTAAGTTTTGTTTCACACACATGCAAACAAAATAGAAAATATCTCTAGCTTCTCCTAGACCTTGTCTGACTGCGGGGTCACCGGGCGGGGCGCTGGGATCGAGGAGGAGAAGTAGCCCAAGGACTTTAGGTCCGAGCAGGCGAGAAGGAGGCGGTTGCAGGCGTCAAGACCAATTTCCCTGCCTGCTTCAGAGACTTTTGAACGCTCGGAGTGTCCCTGCGTCTCACCATTTTATTTGCCTATCGCGGCCGCCCGCTCATCTGGAACGACAGGGGCCCCAACCGGACCGCGGCGCCTTTGGGCCGTTCGGCGAGGTTCGTGGTCCGTACGGTTTGGGGACAGCCCCTGTCCTTGATCCGGGGCGAGTGGGTTCGCCCTGCCCCCGGACGCCCGCCCAGAGGCCGGTGGCATGCGGCTGCCCCAAGCGGCGGGTGCGCGTCCCCGCGCGCCCTGTGTTCATTTTGCAGAGCCAGCCTTCGGGGAGGTGAACCAGTTGGGAGGAGTGTTTGTGAACGGGAGGCCGCTGCCCAACGCCATCCGGCTTCGCATCGTGGAACTGGCCCAACTGGGCATCCGACCGTGTGACATCAGCCGTCAGCTACGGGTCTCGCACGGCTGCGTCAGCAAGATCCTGGCGCGCTACAACGAGACGGGCTCGATCTTGCCAGGGGCCATCGGGGGTAGCAAGCCCCGGGTCACCACCCCCACCGTAGTGAAACACATCCGGACCTACAAGCAGAGGGACCCCGGCATCTTCGCCTGGGAGATTAGGGACCGCCTGCTCGCGGACGGAGTGTGCGACAAGTACAACGTGCCCTCGGTGAGCTCCATCAGCCGCATCCTGCGCAACAAGATCGGCAACCTGGGCCAGCAGGGCCACTACGACTCATACAAGCAGCAACAGCCGGCGCCGCAGCCCACGTTGCCCTACAACCACATCTATTCGTACACTAGCCCCATCACTGCGGCGGCCGCCAAAGTACCCACGCCGCCCGGGGTGCCAGCCATCCCCGGCTCGGTGGCCATGCCGCGCACCTGGCCCTCCTCGCACTCCGTCACCGACATACTGGGCATCCGCTCTATCACCGACCAAGGTAAGGACTCCGGGGCCGAGTGTGTGAGTGTGCAGCGCCTCCCCTTCGCAGAGGTTCCAGTATCTGAGGCCTCCGGGGCTCGAGTATATTCTATCACCTGGGGCTTTTTCCTTTGGAAACTACGGAGTTCTCCCGGGGGTGGAGGGAAGGTGTCCTGCTCTCATTAACTTGAAATTCATGCCTCTCGGTTTCCTTGCCACACACAGTCTCCTGCCTCATCTCAAACTACCAGACCCATAACATCCCCCCATCCCCAACACATGGTTCACATTTTCCACCCTCCCCCGCCCCCTGCGCCGCTGCAGGCAGCTTCAGCCGGGCTGGCTGGGTTGGAGGGCGCGGCCAGGGCCGCACTTGGGACACAGCCGGAGAGGCCGGAGCGGGCTTGGGGCCGCCGGCTGCAGACGCCGCTGCAGGCAGCTCGCTCCGGGAGCAGACGCGGCCGCGAGGAGTCCGGCACGCTGGGGAAATTGCAGAGTTTTTCTTCTCGGGTTCTGGCAATCAGGCCAAATTTGCTCAGGCAGGAAGTTCAAATGTCACCTAATTGGTTTCATTCTTATGCTTCGCTTCATTTTCCTCGGAAATGGAGGTCCAGAAGTTACTACTAGTGACTTGCATGTAGCCGATTCCGGGACTAATTTTCTGCTTTATTACTTCTCTCTCTCTTGATCTAATCGTTCTCTCTTCACCTTACCAGACTTCAGTATATATCTTAGGCAGTGGCACCAATCACTGTGGTGATGGAAAGAAAATGCGTGGCGATGGCATGCCTTCCGTTCTTCTGTCTTTCCCCGTTTTCCCTTGCCCCTGCCGGTCCGCTGGAATGCGAGCGGACATCTAGTTGTCCCCGAACGTTTTCGGCGATGCCACCCCACTGTTCCTTTCCATTTTCACCTCTGACCTTGCCGGGTCGTCAGCGTCTTTTCTGCGTGGTCAGAATGACTCCCGGAGCCCTCTTGCCCAGTCTGGCTTCCGCAGGAGACCTGAGTTTGTTTTCTTTGCTGCATTGTTAAAAAGAAAAGGACGTTAGCTTCCTTCTTGGGAGAGAGAAAAGAAAGTCAAAATGCCCGGGACGCAGAATTCGAATAATGTAGATAGCCTATCTCCTGAACTTCTCGGTCCAAAGTTTAAAAAGCCAGAGGAAAAACTAAATAGGAAAGGGAGAAAATAGCTTCTTTAATTATTTCCTGCCTTTTTTGGTTGCCACCACATTGGCACAATTATCTCTTTAATTAATTAAAGTAGGGCCTTGATTTCTCATCTTCTTGTTTTCTATGAATTTACAAGATCCTTCTAAGGTCTTATTCAGACGTGGTTGGATCTTTAGTCGGAGAGAATTTGCCCTTGATTTATAGGATAAACTGACCTCACTGACATTTAAAGGAAGCCCCTGTTCATGGGAAAGTGTGAGATCAGCAGAAATGGGGGCTCACAGGGGGAATCTCAATTTCTTAAGATAACTTCAGGCTTGTGCCCACCAACTGCCTTTTGTCTGGGAAGGTAAAGAGAGACAGGCAGTTCTGGGCCTAAACAAGGTTTCCTGGTGCAAATAGGAACACAATCTAATTCTTCGGAGGTGGGGGAGGGGGGAAGCATAGTGAAAAACAGGCTAACAGAGTTGAAAAGAAAACTTTTTTCCCCTAGGGACTACTACAATCAGAGCAAATGTCAGTTGAGAAAGTATTGGATTATGGAGAGGAGCAAGTCAATTCTAGATATTGTTGATTCTGAATGCCAGCTTTAAACAACCCCGTTTTTTACAAATTTGTGAATATAACGCTTTCTACAAAATGATCATCCCTTTGAACCACCGTGTCCGATGGAAGTGTTTCAAATCAAGTTACAGTGGCTTTGTCAAACTTCGCTCCTCTACCCATAGGTACCAAGCACAAAAATACATTCCTCTAGTCTTCAAATATCTTTAAAATTACACTTGGTCACAAAAAAGATGCCAATGATTCACTATGCACAACCCTCAGTATTGTAATAATCACTTTACACCGTATAATTTTCTTTGAATCTCCATTACGATCAGAAAGGATAATCGATGGCTTTAGTCCTTTTCTAAACACTTAATTGTACTTTCAGTTTCTCAACCTTTTATTTCATTATTTCTTGCATTTAAAAAAAAAAAAAAAAACCCTTTGTAACCCTGCCGCTGCGATTTGCGGCATTTCGAGTGGTAATTGTAATACTTATTTTCTGAGTTACATGCACATAACCTCACATATTTAATGTGTCCTATGCAAACCCTACGGGGCAGTTCTACTCTGTCCCATAGGGTCGCTGTGAGTTGAGTCAGGATCTACTGGACGGCAATGGGTTTATGCATACCTTAGGCAGAAACCTATGCACGTGTACTTAGCATGTGTATTGTAGGCATCATTTAGTTATTTGTTTGCAGATGATCTGTGGGTCTTTTGTTCTATCTGTTGACACAGTACTAGCGTAGTGAGCACCCTTCAGATGTCTCCGTATACCAGCGCAGGCACCCTTAGGCCAGGAGGCTCCTCTCTCTTTCCAGCCCGCCTGAATCCCAGATCTTTGTCAATCCTCACTCGGCCCAGGGTTAGTACTGAGGAAGAGGAGGAAAAATAGAGCGCATCCAGCCTCATGGGTTCTTTCCCCGGCTAGGGAAAATATTGAGAAAATTTGGGAAATCTCTCAGATTTCTTCCATTCGTTTTCCTGGGGGAGCGAGGAGAGGAGGAGGAAATCAAAAGCAGATTAAAAAAAAAAAAAAAAATCTTCCCACAGGCATGGGTGAAAGAGCTTGGCGGGGCCTACTCTGAGGCGAGTAAAAATCCACTCAGGCCGTCGACTGGAAGCAAAGGAGGCCGCGGCTGGGCCCAGAGCCCCTGGGAGGCCGAGGGCAGGGTGCCAACTCGGGGTCGGAACCCTGGTGCTCTCTGGTCGCGGGTTCGGGTCCAGTCTCTGGAGGGACGTTGGGGCTCCAACTGATGCCTTCTCCTCCTCCCTAGGAGTGAGTGACAGCTCCCCCTACCACAGCCCCAAGGTGGAGGAGTGGAGCAGCCTGGGCCGCAACAACTTCCCAGCCGCCGCGCCTCACGCAGTGAATGGGCTGGAGAAGGGAGCCTTGGAGCAGGAAGCCAAGTTCAGTCAGGTGAGGAGGCGAGGGTCGGGCCGGGTGGGGCCGCGGCGGCGAGCGGTGGCGGCGGGGTTAGGGTGATGGAGGACCCAGGCCTTTTCTGACCCTCGACCGAGGGGAAGCCGAGGCCGACCTCCCGTCGCTGCCTCGAGCCCTATCCCGGCTGATGGGGGCGAGACCCAAGCACCGACCTTCGAGGCGGAGCCGGGGCCTCGGCCTTGCCCCCGGGGCGCGGGGCCCCTTGGCGCACGGGGGCTTCGGGCAGCCGTTCCCCGAGGCAGGCGCGGCCCGGGGAGGCGCCTCCAGGCCTGTTTGGCCCCTGGAAGAGCGGGGAGGCTGCGTCTCGAGGCCTTCCCGCTGCTAGTACTAGGGCTGCAGTTAATGGAGATGCGAAAGGCAAGGCCAAGCGACCTTAGGCTCGCAGACTAGCGCCGGTGGGAGCGCCTCCGACGCCCGCGAAACGCGCGCCCCCAGGTCGGGGCCCTGCCGGGACCGCGGGTTCCCGAGGCCTCGCGCTCGAACGTTTCCGTGAACGTGGCTCTCGAAAAACGAGCAACCGTGGTGTGTCCTGACATAATGGCAAGAGGGGCAACCAGATGAACTTAATAAAGTTACCATTTCTCGATTAAAGGTCATATCGTAATCTCCCAAGGGAGGTTAGTGAGAAAACCTCAAATTAGACAGACTGGCTGTGGGCCGTTTAATTTTACTTTCCCCCGTCCCTCCCCCCACCCTCCAAAAGAAAAAACACCTATTTCCCCCCTCTGAGAAAAAAGCCCAAGAATTTTGAGTCTAAATTCATCACTACTTCGGAGTCAAGAGTTCCAAACTTAAAAAGAAAAAAAAAAAAAGATGTTAAGGCATCCTAATGTTTCCTTGATTAGAACTGGGTATGTTTGCAAATTTCTTAATCCCAAACCCTCAAAATGCCCAGTTTTTGTTTTATTATTTTGAAGTCTTAAAACTTTTAATGCTTTCTTAACTGTCAAAAACCAGCTTTTTAAATTAAATGAAATTTGCTACTTTTATTCACTTGTAAAAAAAATTCAAAGGTGATTTTCTCTAATAAACACCATGTCTCCTCCCTCTTCCCTCCCTCATTTTGTTAAAAGAGAATCACAATACATTTTAGTAGCTCTTCCATGGCAAATTTGCCATCACAGAAACACAACATCAAGCAAAGAGTCCCTTCCTTGAGTCTGTTTCTACTGAAAAGAATGCCAATGAGAAATTACAAGAATGTATATCATTTTCTTTAACAAAAGGGCTGGTAATTCTCAGGGAAGAAGCAGTATAGTACAACGGTTATGAGCTCTGATCACCTGCACCATAGCCTCTTAAGCAAGTTATTTAACCTTGTCAAGCCTCAATTTCTTCATGTGTAAAAAGGGAAAGTAATAGTCCCACCCTCAAGAGATGTGAGGATTAAATGAGATAATGCAACCATACGGAGTTCTGGTTGCACAGTGGTTAAGAACTCAGCTGCTAACCAACAAGTTGGTAGTTCAAATCCACCAGCCACTCCTTGGAAACCCTATGGGGCAGTATGACTCTGTCCTATAGGGTTGCTGTGAAGCACCTAACAACAATACAACATGGCACACAGTAAGCATTCATTAAATATTACCTGTGGTTATAAATGACAGTTAGAGCTAACTTTTAATAACAAGCAATTTTTATCAGAATATTCTTTGCCCAGAGAGCTCATAGTCCAAAAGTGTCAAGGCATTTTGTTACAAACAATAGAGTCTATCTAAAGTATTTAGCATAGTAGCAAGCATTTAACAGGTGTGCAGTAATTTTTATTAGGTCATCATTTCTTAGAATAACATTGTGAAGTACAGAGTTGAAAAATAGTCTGAATTCCCACGTGCACTTGATGAACCCAGTCTGTAACAGCAGTCTCAGTGCCCAAAAATATTTTAGTTATTTTAACTCCTTTGAATTATAGACCTAGATTTTAAACTTGTTTAGAAAGGTTATGCATTCACTTCAAACCTAAATTGATAAAATATTTAAAATTAAAATTTAAACATTATTTCAAACCATCTACTCTGTATATTCCAAACATTAAAAATTGATTGCGTTTTATATACTGAATATTAAATCACTAAATTCTTGGATTTATAAAAGTAAGTAATTCAGAGAAATAAGTGCTCAGATAAATATTGCTTTAAATGCCTAAGAGAACAAGTTAAATTTTTCCCAGAAGAAAATGATGGTTTATATCAAACTTACCTTTGGAAAATTCGTAAATGTAATATGCAAATTTATGCATTGCCATGCATTAAGATAATTCAAAGGATGTAAATTTCCAAAACACAGAAAAATTTCTAAGCACAGTGCAAATCAGTGGATACTCTATTATAATAGTCAAAATAGTGCTTGGTGCTGAAAATGTGCTAAGTAGCCACATCAACTTAGACTATGTCATTTTGTGAGCAATTTTGGAATTTAAACATGGATTTCCTTGAGGGTAAAATTATACATTAATAGTTCTTCATAGGCAAACATGCAAAGGTTAGGTGTGTTATATCTGTATTTACATTTCTCTTACCAATATTTAAATGGTAGCTTTATTTTTAAAAGTTATTTTTCAAAATATTATCAGTATATTTCAACCAAAATGTAAACTCAGGTAACATGTTTTTTCCTTCATTTGTACTGTGAACAAACTTTGAGGGTCTTTGGTAAAAAAAAAAAAAAAAATTCTTAAAATTTTTGCACATGATACTTTCAGGGCATTTACAGTTGTTATTAAAGAGTGCAGTATTATATAATACCAGTTTCATTTTAGTATACAAAGGTGGATATTAAGAATTCAGAGCCATAGGTCTTAGAACATATTTTCCTAGAAGACATCTGTAAAATTACCAAAAGGGGTCAACTGACAACTGATTATGGTTACAATTAATGACTGTAATCTAGCGTTTCTATTTTCAGCTTAAACTGCAGAGAAAGATGCCTGATTCCTGGTAATTAGAACATTTCATCCATATACACTCATATCTTTGGTTTGTGAGACATTAGTTCAGAATATTCAAACTTGTCTTAAACATTAACATTACACTGGAACTGATATTTTATAGTGCCATTCGGAAATCCATATTGTCTACCTTTGAGGATAGAGGAAAGATAATATTTATTTTGACTTTTTTCCTCCCACACTTAATATTGGGCTAGAAATCTTTCATCTCATCTAATTCTGAATGACAGCAATGTTCTCCGGCTCTTAATGGCTGGTTCTGTTCCGTTGAAAACCTAAAACCCCTATGAACACAATCGCACAGTGAAAGAACATTGTACAGAGAAACCTAGGCGTTAGAATATATCTGCCTTTTAAAATATTACTTAGCAAATTGATGCCTCCTTTTAAAAAATAGCTTATAAATAGTTGTATAGTTCTTGAACAGTTTTCTACAATTGAGCGTACTTTCTCAGAAAAAATATATTGCATATCCGGTACTCCAAGCAAAAGTAATCTGAACGTTAGATTTATAAGCTTTGAGTATCTTCATTTTTTGATAGCATATGTTTAAACTCAAACAGCAAGTTTAATATAGCATTTAGCTCCAAATTGATATGTCAGAAATGGAGAATAGTCTGTAAATACTTGAACTTAAGAAAAGTAAGTTTTATGTAAAACAAATTGGGAAAATGGTTGAATTTGGAGACAAAAATTAATCTGAAACCCTTATGGAGCATTGTGTTTGAAATGTCGATAGTATTTCACAATCATGAGTGTAAAAACTGGCCGTCCATATTGACACATTGGTCACGTGAAAATATAAATGAAGTTGCACTGAATTTTTCTTCATATAAAATAAAGTTAATAATTTTGTGGTAAGCTATTTATAATTTTATAGAGAAGAAAATCTTAAGCAAATGCTAATAGAGAGCCTTTAAAAGTCATAATGTTATCCATTCTGAAAAACATCCTTTGAGCTGGTTAACTTTTAACCAGTAGTGTTTTAAGACAAAATTAACGATTATGTATCAGTAAAATGTGTCAGTAAAAATACCAGTAAAAAGGCAATTAAAAATTTTTCAAGGCCATATCAATTTTAATAAAAAATTGGAAACATAAAATTTAGAAACCAGATGTTAAATAGCAGCTTTCCATTCCCTTGGGACGTTTAGATCTGCAGTGTGATAACTAAACATATTAAGATCCTTTTGGATGAATGTTGAAACAGTGTTTACAACCGTCATTTCATTCTATCAGATTTGTTTTACCAGGTCATTGCATAATAAATTAAGAAAGCAAGAACAACAGTCAGAAAAATGATTTCACAAAAGAAGAGAGAAAATCTTGTTTATTTTCAGACTGAAACCTTTTTCTTGCTTATGATATTCAGGTTGAAATTCCAGGTGAAGCCCATCTCTATTTGTGGCTAAATCTACTTTATTATAAAGTCAAGGTAAACTCATTTTATCATAAGGGGAGGGCCATATAGTACTGATGAGTGGATGGAAGATTGTAGATAGAGGAGCAGACACTGTTCCTTGCTTTTTCTTCAAGAGAGAAAATGTTGAGTAGACAATTTCCAGAATTTGAAGAATAGTCTGTATCCTCTAATTGCCAGACAGTTGCCATACCAGTTTCTTTTCGTGGTCACAAGTGTTTGGATACTAATGCATTTCCATTTTCTCTAGGGGGAATAAATGGAACAACCATAAATCAAATAATGAAATGCCTAGGTTAGAACTTTTATTTACTTTTTTCGACAGCTTTATTAATTTTGCTTACTTAATATGTAATGCTTATTCTGTGATAAAGAGGGCCTAGTTTTGTTTTGTTTTTAAAGCAAGAATATCATATCTTTTTCTTTCACAAGCCTGTGCTAACTCAAGTTTACAAATGTTTGTGAAACACCTATAATGTGTCCTGTCTTGTGGGGATGTTGTTGTTGTGGGCTGTTGAGTCGATTCCGAGATGAGTAAGGCAAGTCCCTGTCCTCACACAGTTTACAGTCTAGCCCTCTGCCAAAATAGCTTCTCCACATACCCACTCACATTATTTTCTAAAAACTGGCAAATTGACATTTCTAACATTTTAGAGCAAGTCAAATGAAAACGCCTACTCTGATTTATTCGGGTGATAACCTAACGTAGAAATACATCCCATCTTATGTATTTTCCCAATTTCCTGTAATGTCAGTGGGATGAAATCTATCTTTTTCTAAAAATGATTCAACAAAGCAAGTACCTTACTTATACCGACATATGCAATCTGGTCTATTTTACTTTGTATTAGTAAATCTCCTTCTCAAAATTAGGTAGAAGATAGTTTGCTTCAGGGAGGACCCTTGCACAGTTTTTTAAAGGAAAGAAATCTCAAAGGCTCTAATGGAAGATCCACATGAAAAAGGGGTTGATGGATTGATTGAGCCCTTATTTATGGAATCTTTAGGTAAAGTAATTTTCAAAAACGAAATTTCCGTTACATGCCCATTGCTGGGGTTTCATTTGGAAAATTTGTTTACTCTTCCCTTGGGATTCCATATGTTGGTTGATTTATAAATCATATTTACAATCCAATTAAATAGAATAATTTAGCATGTTTGCCCCCACTATATTTATAGTGTACATTTGGTAGTTTCTACTCAGCCTAACTAGCTTTTCAGATTAATTACATGCCCTTCACTGAAAACATTAAACAGATTTGGGACGTTTAAGTCATGTACTCTTTTACTGGAAAAGGATAAACAAATCAATGCTACCTGCAGTTGTTTTCCTTTGCGGTGGAAAATTTTACTCTTTCAGTGATTGCTTCATAAATAACAATTCTTTACCCAATAGAGTTTTATACCTTTTACTAATGCCATGTTTCAAAATTAATGTGAGAAACTGATGTGTTTATTGAGTTCTCAGAATGAATGGATAGTGAAGGTGGCAGGAGGCAGGAACATTTTAAAGCACATTTGTTCTCTCAACTTGCTTATGCCATTTTTCCGAATTTCTATATGTGAACTTTAAAAGTAAAAACTAAAATTAAGACAGACCTCACATCCCCCATCCCCCGCGAAAAAAAAATCTAGGCCATAATTTAACCTGAAGAAAAGCCAAGAGTTGTTTGTATATTGTTTAAGGTTAAAAATTTCTATCCATTTTTTTTTAAGCAAACACTTTAGCCTCCCTTTGCTTTTTTCTTAAAGATGAGCAGGTCAACCCTCTCCGAGTTTCCCCTTCTGCCCTTCCTTTCTGGAATACAGAGGGGATTGCATCACTGAAATGCCCCTAAATACTTTGTGGATTTTAGAGAACACTGAAATATTGGATTCTAATAAGAACTATGACATAAAAGCAAGTTTGGAGCAGTAAGTATAAGAAATTGGGCAAACAAGGAAAAAATTAGCAATATTTTTTACACTTGACAACTGAATGTAGTCATGAAATAAGTAAGGCACCTGAAGTTAACACAGGCCTAAATCCAATGTTCTGCGCCCCCTAAATTCCAAGACCTTTACCTAAGATGAAAGTCCAATTCAGTCAGGTTTCTCGGAGGACCATATTCCAGGGGGAATATCTCTGGGCAAAAGAAGTAGATCCGTGTAAGGGGATTGTAGACATTGTAGCAGAATAGCTGAAGAGCCTCAAATACATGGGGCACATCCAAGAACAACAGAGAGGTTCATGGGCAGGGGTAGAAAGGGAAGACAATAAAGCAGGTATTTCAGAGGGGACTCTAATTTTGTATGACAGAACAACAATACAAATTAAAAAAGAATGGGTAGGAAAAATTAAGTTGTAATGAAAAATAGAACTCATTTTCTCTGCTAACTAGAACATTGCTTCTGTCATGTATGTTAAATCTTTTAAACTTATGTACTTGTAAAATGCTCAGCAAAGCTTTTCATTATTTTTAAAGTAATTTTAACCTCCTCATTTTCTCATTATCCTTATTTTATTATTCTTGGTGTACACTGGTGTCAATAGTATAAAATACTGATTAATGCTAGAACAGAAGAGGCCAAATACAGATGTAAACACCTTTTCATTACTAAACTGGAATGATTCCTTTCCTAACTAGTTTCTCACAGATTATTGGGAAAATCCTAAATAAAAATGATCAGAACTATAATCTCTGTGTATTGCTAGATTTCTTCTGCAGTTTGATATCTCTCTATCTTGATACTCACTTCCTGAGATCTTTAAAGTGTTTCTTCTTTGAGAAGGAAAAAGCCATTCTCAAAAAAAAAAAAAAAATTTTTTTTTTTTTTTAAAGAGGTTAAGAAACAGAATGAGGATCTAGCAATGAGACTCAAGTTCTAGAAAAGAATCTTTTATCAGACGTTATCTCAAAATATGTTCTGGTTTCAGATTAAATTTATCTATCTTTTGATTGTCCAAGGAAAGTAGCATAATATGCTACATAGGACCCTGCATCAGACAGGGGTGATAAATTCTTTTAATATATGGCCACAGACTTGCTAATTGACGTTGGGTAAATGGCTAAATCCCTTTGTCTATATTCTTTTTTTGTTGTTGTTGTACTTTAAGTGAAAGTTTACAATTCAAGTTAGTCTCCCATACAAGAATTTATACATACATTATTATGTGACCCTAATTGCTCTTCCTATACTGTGACAGCACATTCCTCCTTTCCACCCCTGATATCCGGTGTCCATTCAACCAACTCCTGACCCTCTCTGCCTTCTCATCTCACCTCCGGACAGGAGCTGCCCATTTAGCCTCATGGATCTACTTGAGCTGAGAAGCACACTTTTCACAAGTATCATTTCCTTTGTCTGCATTCTTTTGCATAAAAAGAGGTTAAGATTTCATTTATATTCAACAGTGATATGCAGTGGTTAAAAAATAGAGCATAATCCTTTGGGACCCTTGAAATACATTTTAATTTCAATTGAATATTATATTGCTACTCATTATACGGAGCCCTGGTGGTGCAGTAGTTAAGAACTTGGCTGCTAACTGAAAGGTCGGCAGTTTGAATCCACCAGCTGTTCCTTGGAAACCCTATGCAGCAGTTCTGCTCTGTCCTATAGGGTCGCTATGAGTCCGAATGGACTCCACAGCAACGGTTACTCATTATACATTATCTTATAATTATTATAAACCCAATAGTTTATAATGAGCTATAATTCATTAATCCTCATTATATGGTAAAATATGGTGACTGTTTCTTGGTGCCCTGGTTGCATAATGGTTAGGCGTTCTGCTGCTAACCAAAAGGTCGACAGTTCAAATCCACCAGCCGCTCCTTGGAAACCCTATGGGGCAGTTCTACTCTGTCCTGTTGGGTCACTATGAGTCAGAATTGATTCAATGGCAACGGGTTTTGTTTGCTTTTGGGACATAGGGGATACTCAAAAAACCTTTGTTTCCTTCTCCCTTCCCCATTCTTCAAAGCATAGGCAGTTTGACAAACAGAAAATCACAAGGTGTGTGTTCTTACAGACTAAGGACACAAGGTTAGCCTCTCTACTTTTATTCTTATTTTGACAGAAATCCATAAACACTGTTAAATCACACCCATGTACTTACTCTGTAACCTATTTATCTACTCTAAACTGAGAAAATAGTTTTTAAGGCTCCACTGTTGCATTCTCATAGATGTGGGAGTGAAAATAATAACCCAGTGAATTAAATGAGAAAACAATTTGTATGTTGCAATTGAATTAGAAAAAAGTATCTAATTAACATGTCCGATTTACTTAACTCTAAGGATTAAGTTGCTTTTCATAATATTAATTCTATTACTTAGGTCCTGCGTTCACAAGGAAATACAAGGATATGTTAGTTCATTCATGTTAACAGGAAACAGGGCTTACTCTTTATTCCTGAATAATGTTGAAATTGAGGGGAAAAATTAAGTTACTTGAAGAAGGATGCTGAGTGTTCCTGCCAGAACCAGGATTAGAAATCAGGGTTTTTGGTGTTGTTAATAGTAAGGATACCAACAATAATTTATTGAATGCCAAGAGACAGCTGGTTTCTAAGGAAGCTTGCCTGACGGAGCTGCTGCATTTTGTTTGCAAACTAAGATTTTACATTGAAATTCGCTTCAAGAGATTTATTCGTGTGGCTTTTCAAAATCCCCACCACAGGGCTCAAAAACTTTGCAAGCAAATTTTCCAATTTCAAAACCATGCGATGCAGTTCTTTTGTATTTGGATAGACAGTTTCTTTTCTGATAAAATAGCTCTGGAAGAAATACACCCAATCTTCGTCAAAAGCCCTTACAAGACAAACCGCCTGGTTTTGCATGTCCTTTGTTCAACAGGCATTTTCAACATGATGTTTTAAAATACTGCCCACGTTTTATTTAACAAAGGTCGTGCTCATTTTGAGTTTCCACTGTGACAGCCCACACTCTGTGCCCTTCTTTACTGGAAATGAAAGCTACACCAGACTCTTCACAAATGCCTCAACGAAAGAGTCAAAACAAAATTACGGGGAAGTTGACAAAGGCAATATAGATAGCTGGACAGATTCTAAGAGTATTTAATCATCATTAATTCTTTTCTTAGCCTGCATTTCCTTCCTAGAGTTCCAAATGGCAAAAGCAAATACTGTGAATTTTCTAGTGGCAACCTCCTCGAAGCATTTATGGAAAGAATAATATCTGGCCTTTTGACACGTTTGTTTAGGTAGCAAGATCACGAATGCTTTCAGAATATATAATTAAGGTCAAATCTAAAAAATCAGTGCAGAGTCAGAATATGGTGAGCTTAGTCAGAACTTACATTCTGCTTCTTTCTAAAAGCCTGTGAAATGTCCACTACTGTATTGTGATTATTTTTTACCTCTTCTCTCTCCCTACTCCTCTCAGGCACCAAATGGCCTCCCAGCTGTGAGCAGTTTTGTGTCAGCATCCGGCATGGCTCCTTACCCTACCCCGGCCCAAGTGTCGCCTTATATGACCTACAGCGCTGCTCCTTCTGGTTATGTTGCTGGACATGGGTGGCAACATGCCAGCGGCACCCCGCTTTCCCCCCACAACTGTGACATTCCCGTATCGCTGGCGTTCAAGGGAATGCAGGCAGCCAGAGAAGGTAGTCACTCTGTCGTGGCCTCTGCGCTCTGATGGGAAATTCTGTCTCCAGCAGCGTTACCCAGGTCTCCCCCTCAGCACATCCTCTCCCTCTTCGCAGGTCTCAGACCCCAACCCCTCCTGCCCCCCAACCCTTCTGCCTCCGAGAGCTGGCTTTATGGACTCACATCCTTTGTGCTGATGACACTTAAATATGTCTTGCCATAACTTCTCTCTCACAGAAAACCTGACCTGACTTCAGGATTTAAAAACAAATGCAACGTTAAGGATTGAATGAGACATTTGGATTGCCCACACACTGTTTTAAGTAGTGAAGAAACCTGCACCCCTCAAAGGGCTTAAAGAACTTTTAAAAACTAGTCTTTGGTAAAACCACACATGTATATTTATTCTAAATCAACCTGAACTTTTGAAACGTGCAATTGTTGAGATTTTGCAAAATCAATAAAGGAAAATACAGAAAAACAAGTTATGCTACACCCTCTAATCAAATAACGTAACCAAGTAAGCCTTAATTCATCATTAGGAAACGAATCAATAATTGACTTGTTTGAGTGATCCTTTGTTTACTTTTAAGAAATGACCTGTTTTGTCGAAAAATATGTGTAGAACCCAAACGATATCTGAATTTAGCACCTCCTGGCATTTTGACTTGGTTCCAAATATAATAATGTTTATATTTTCTATTAATTTGTAAATATGGACTCTGAATGGCGTTTGTGTTTTCATTCCATGGGCTATCCCCCTCCCCACCCTAGATATATATATTTTTTTCTTTCTTTTCGAAAAGGTGACTTTCTGGCAACATCTTTGTCTGTGTTTGGTGGTGGGCTGCTCGGGCTCCTGGACCTGGACTTGCCCCAAATTTTGCGTGTGCAGTGAAGGTTTCAACATCTTATGAAGGACATTTTTTTTTTTTTTCCTATGGCAGAGGACTCAAAAAAGCAGATAAAACAAGCCAGTTTCCCATTTTGTATCCTAATTAAACAATACACATGCCAAGCATATGAAGACAAGGGGGTGGAAAATATCTGAACAGGAAGGCTCTAAAGGAAGTCACTTAGAAACTTAAGTTTAATGTGAAATGCTTTGCAAAGACACTTAAAATGAACTTTATGTTGAGAAAACCACTGTGAAATGAAATTGTACTGTTATTGTTGGCTTACCTGTGTGTTCAGCAATCTCAGCCCAAAATTATGTTGTAATTTAAGGAAAGCGTAAAATTCTGCTCTAATGAATGTAAAAATGGCTTGCTGTGAAGTTTACATTGTTGTACAGAAGCGTGTTTCATGTGTACGCAATGGTGGTGGTATTAGAAATACAAATGCTATTTAATTTTAACAAACTCCCCTTATTCATTTTTGGAGTTACAGGACACAGTTCAACTGATAAACCTTTCTAGACCCATTTATTTTTCCCTTTAATGTTAATAATAGAGCTATGGGATGTATGCGTGTGTGTGTGTGTGTGTGTGCGCGCGCGCGCACGTGCGCACACGTGCAAGTGTGCAATTATATGTTGTATTTTAAAAACAACTGATTTTCTTGGGCATAATTCTACAGTGTTGTTGTTTTTTTTTTTAATCTCTTCTGTTTAGAAAGTTCTTCCTTGCTTGGCAGGATAGGCTTGAATATATCTTTTTAAAAAATTGGTACAATTCATCTATTGGAATTGTTAATATATTGCAGTTTTTTTGGGGTGTTAATTCTGTGCAATAGCTAAAAGGGCACATCACTAGGTATGGATGTTGAAGATGCATTCGTGGGGCGATTTTGATTTCTTCCTGTCTGTGCTGTGCACAGCCTACATGGCAATCCAGTTCTGCCACATCAGTTTCATGGCTTTATTTCAAACTCAGATGGCTAGATTAGCTAGGTTTTTCAAATCACTAGGATATACACGGTAAGTAGATTTCTGACACACAAGTTACGTTCAAGGAAATGATTTTTCCAAGCAGCAGATATCTTACAGAGAGCTTTGAACTGCATTTATTTCTAAAGCAACCGAAATTCATTGCTACAAACAGAGGATTATAACTTCAGGAGAAGAATAAGCAGAAGGAGCAGATGAACTCTCAGGGCCATAGTCTTCCTTTGATCTTGTAAAACTCCCATTGACATCTGGAGTTCCCAGTCTGGTGAGAAAATAGACTATAAACCGAATGGAACAAAAGTACCAGTCCAATATTTTGGTGGAAACTTTAAAACCACACCGTACAGGGACTCTCCTGCTGTCCAGAAAAACTGACATAAGGTACAGAATTATTCCTTGTCAAATGTTTTTAGGTGGCTATAAGAGTCTTTAAAAAAATCAGTTATTTGTGCAGAAACACAACTAAGTGTTACTCTCTTTATCTAAGTTAAGAAATCTCTTATTATGCTATTTATAATATTTTTCCTGGTTCTTGTATTTTAAAAAATCTGATATTGATGGTACCAAGGTTTTCTTTTTTCTCACCCCCTCCCCAGGTCTTATCAACAATGAGTTCACACGGAGTTAAGTTTAAAAAGGCAACAGAAATCCCCAATACAATTTGCTATTCAAAGCGAATTATTATTTAAAGCCACGTTAAAACATAGGAGATGGAAAATGGGACGGGATATTGGGTTGGGATTGTTTAATTTAAAAAAGTTATTATTGTTGGTTAATGTTGACATATCTCCTCTGTTTCTCAGAGGGTAACAGTGTTGTTTTTAAACTGGCAAATGCACTCTTCAGAGATCCTTTTCTATCCCATCCACATGGAGAGGTTAAAGGTTCAATTTCATGGCCTCTGTGAAGGCAGTATGCTTTCTCACAGCACGCAGGAGTACTATTACCTGCAAGGAGAGAATGCAGTTGTGCAACAGACATACGTTCTTTTTTTTTTTCCTTCTTCTTCTTAATTTTTCTGCTTTTAATAACCCTTTTATTGAATATTGGGCTGAAATATAAATTAAAAAACACGTTGGAAAGGATGTACAACAGAAGGCTGTGTATGTATATACAGTATGTCAAAAAGCCTTTTATTTTTATACTTTGAATGCTCTAAATTAATAAAAAGTAATAATTACCATGTTATCTTTTACTTTTTATTTTCAAAATACTTTAGTGAAATATCTACATAGTAGAAATATTCTATAGTGGTAGTTAAGAACAGGTGCCATCTACAATAAGCAGATATTTTTGTTGACTTTAGCTACTCAAGTAGCATCATTTCAGGACACAGATATAAAATTGTGTGGTTCTATCAAGACCAAGACGATATTTTTTGGAGTGCATGTTAACACAGGAATCCTGGGAAATGCTAAGAATGTACCTCTATTTTAAAACATTTTCTCCTTCATAACACATAATTTAACATTGTAGATAGCAGACTTCACACCTGAGCTGTCACTTAAAACTAATAACTTGGAAATGTAGTTTTACTCTACATATTCTTCTTAAGAATGATGTCGGTAAGGGTTCTGAACAAAGATATTTGATGCAAATACAGACAGCACAGATAGGCCCAAGGAGTGATTCCAATTTGTGATTTAACGTGAAGAAATTTTAGCAATAAAACTTGTCTTCAAAGAGGACTATGTGAAGGAAAGTAGTTTAATATAATTTCATGCTTTATATTTGTTAAAAAAAAAAAAAGACTTCACATATCATGGTTTGCAAATGAGAATTTCTTTAAACAACAGTTTCAAATGTAAAATAGATTTGGGAAAATATAGCTGAGATATGTCTTACTACTGAAGAAAACCAACAGATTTACATTTCTAACATTGTACTAAAAAAAAATTTTTTAAAAGGCCATTTTAGTGTACTTTAAAAACATTTTCCTTGTGCTGCTTCAGTATTATTTATGGACAAATTTAATTCCTTATGAAAAGTGTTTAAATTTTTTTCAACCAGTCTTTCTTTGAGTAATTCTTAAAAAACTGGCCACACAATAATTTATTTTCAAGAATTTAAACATTTCTTGACTTCTTAGGAGACAATAATTATCAATACAATGAATTTTCATTGTGAAGCAATGTAAGAGGAACATGTTTGACAAAACTTAAATATTGCTGTTATTAAATACATCTGATTTCTATATTCAATTTATATACCTCATTGCTTTGTATTATTTTTATTCTCTCTGTTTTATGTATATAGCCAAAACTACAGTCTTAATGTGTCTAAAGATTTTTTTTAAGTATCAAAATATGTTTAGTTCTTCACCTAAACTGTTTTCTCCTTTATAATTGCATGTCCAGCTTGGCTGATCAATATTCTTTCCTCTTCATGGTGCTGCTTAGCAAATACCCATTATTTCAAGAAGGAAAAACACTTCATAGGCAATCACCAGTTCTTCTGAAGCCATGAATAGGCATATTCATAAACCAGCAGCATCACCGCACCACCTAGAAAAGAAAAGGACTGGATGTCATAAATCTTGTGAAATATCGACATCTTTCCCACTGGACTTTTGAATTCATGAAGCCCAATGCAGACTACCTAATCAACATTTCTCCAACTCGTATATATATATATAAACTATTGTGGAAAATTCTTAGGGTAAAATCAAGACCATCTTGATTCTTCAAATACATTTTTCTCCAGAGGTTTCTGTAACTTTTATCATTTCTTATCAGATTCTTTTTTCAGGCATTTTTAATTTTTTAAGGTAAATAAATATAGACATATTTAGTGATGTAAGGGCACGTGGCTTTCTTATGAACAGAAATATTCAGATTTTTTCATACGTAGGCAAAGATTTATCTTTTTCAGTCCACAAGGAGCATTTTCAGTCCATAATTAGTCTTAATTGCATTCAAGAAAGCAATCTCTAAAAGGGTGTTTGACGGATGAGTGTGGTTTTGTCTTACAGCTTTTAAACTGGATTGCAATGTGAAAAATAGCTTCTGAATTCTTTTTTTTTTTTAAATTGTACTACAAAACTTAGAAGAAGGCTGAAAGCTGGCTTTCATTCATTTCTCTGCCTCAGTCTATATGGACTGAACTTGAAAATTTGGTAATGGGAGTTGGGTGGCATGAGACTGTTATTTGTCTTGAAAGAGAAGAGTTATGTAACGCTGCAAAGAGGCTTGCTGTATAATGTCAACAGGAATATGATACAGGAAAATAGGCGCTGAGCCTACTGAATAGCCACTGGGAGAAACACTTGTATGTGGATGATTCTGTGTTCTATCGAATGCAGTGATAGCACTTGCCTTGTGCCTTTTAGGATAATCTCTATCCTTTCATGTGTAACTCCGTGAAAATATTACAAAATCAAAATGTGGACAAATATCCTGAACATGACTTAGAGAAGACTTGGCTGCATGAATAGAAGGCTGACTTCAGACAGAAAGAAACAGACCTTGGTTTTGATCTTAGTTATTTTGTACCCGCTGCCATATGCTTCTCCTTTTTTTTTAATCTACAGGCTGCACATGTTTGTGTAACCATATACCTAAGATAATTATCTGCCTTTAATTTTCATTTTTCACTCATGAAGACACTGTTTTATTAGACTCCTCTCAGCTGCCGTACCCGTCCTCGAGCTCTGGCAAACACAAAAGGACACACTACAGAGGGCTGTTAATATGTATGTAATAGCTATGTTTACTGTTAGTAACTGCTCACAATGTAAGACAAGAACATGCACAATTGGATTCGTTTCCAGCCAAGTGATTCTAGAAGTTTAAACCGCAGATATCAAGATTCTCTTCTTGTGGGAGGTACCTGATCATTAGCCACATAGAGCTGCTAGGCTGTTAAAAAATAAGGGGGCGTTAGATTAAATGCTTCTCCAGAACGAAGAATGAAAATTTCAGGTTTACCTTTCTTTTCTTTTTTACTGCCTTTTTTTTTTTTTTTTTAATTTTACCCTGAACTCAAAAGTCTTGCCTTTCTACCTTTCTTTCCATTGAAGATGCTGGGACTTGCATGTTTGGAATAAGGTTCTTGAATGAGCTTTCCAGTTTGGTTTAACCTGGTCAGTAAGTTCACAACAACACTTTTCATTGGATTTAGCACCACAGCAATTCAGAACACCTCATGCAAAAACATTTAAAAAGCGAACCAAACATTTGCAAGCCTCTAACAATACTTGGGGTCAGATTATTTAAGAGTTTTGGATTAAGGTTCCAGTCAATTGGCATTTTAGCTAAACTTTCCCTGGTTACCACCCCTTCTGGGCCCATCTCCTTCTGAGAAAGCTGGTTTAGGGCCAGTTCTGTGATTTTCTCTAATACTAGTCTACTAGTAGGTTTGTACTGTGTGGTGAAGGAAAAATGCCATGTATTTGCCGAGACGCACAAAATTCTTAGCATTTTTTATTATTGGGTTAGTTTTTACACACAGGCCAATGACTAACAGAAGGCAGGTTTGAATCTCAAATATGAAATGAAATCCATGCTTCAATGCCTAGAAATGTTAGGACAGGTGGGTGGGGAATTGTGGAAGTGTTTTCTAAATACATGAAAGTGTGAACTGTTCACCAGCTTCAGTTTACAGACTGTTCTATTTCTCAGGTTGGTAGAAATGCTGGTTCATTGGGCTGAGATCTAAAGATAAATTTGCATGTGTGTGAGTGTGGTAGGGGAGGAGGATGTTGGACAATGAGAGAATGGGACGAATGGGAGAGAGAGAGGACAGGAGTGGGAGAAGGTTCTAGGGAAACTCACCAGGATATCTAAGTAGGTGAGTGTGGCCTGGTTAAAAAAAAAACAAAAAAACAAAATGTGTGGTCTAGTGCATACTTTTGTACTTATTCACCAGGCTGCTATAATCCAAGAATATTTGCCCAGGCGGTTGAGTCTGCAGCAGTTATTTTCTTATCTGTTTACAGAGAAGCAGCTGACTCTCCCTGTGGGAATGGCAGCCGGTTTTTTGTGGGCTAGCATCTTGAGGTGAGGGCCTGAGCCGGGAGCCTCCACAGTCATGCTGACAGAGGCCAGGAAAGGTAAGGGCCAGGCTGTGGCTTCACCACTCTCCAGAAGTGACTGTGAAGACAAGTGGCTCTTGCTGTTCATGGAAGCGAGTTGCCCTCCTCTTCTCCTTTTGCAGTGAAGTTAGGCAGGAGCAACAATGAACTAGGAGCACAAGGAAAAGTTTTGTTGGGCTGGTCCCTCCCCTTAAGCAAGACGCCACTGCGTATCCCAGTGTTCCCTCAAACTCCAGCTGGCTGTGGGTCCTTTTCTATTGACTTAAGCCAGTATTTGGCTTCTGTCAGCCTCCAGCAAGGTCATAAACAGCAATTTATAAACAAAGGTAGAACATTTCCAATGGATGCCTTCAGTATCTTGAATATTCTAGACAACTCTATATCATCAAGGTTTCTGTCTTTCACAGTGTGGTAAACTTTTATTGTGTTGCTGATAGACACAAATAAGAAAAGAAGAGGTACTAGAACAAAGAAAAAGGAAGGATATAAACAATAAAAACATCATACCTGGTCCAAGTCTCATAATCTTGGGAATCAGACCTTTGTACAAAGCTAAAAACCTATAACCAGAAGGGAAAGAGCAACGTTCTTATTCTGAAAAGAAAATGGAGCTGTACCTCAGCTTTATTGAGATGTTGGCCCAACATTTAAAAAAAAAAATTATTTGAAATTACACACATCCCAAACCAGATGGTATTTGGCTTAGTATTCTCTGCAGCAAATTGGATGAGGGGAAAGAGTTAATCAATTCTTTATTACCCAAGCTATGCTGATCTTGTCCAATCAGAAACAAGACTTTCATCAGGGAGATGGTTTTTGCTTTCAAGACAGGTCTGACTTTCAAGACAGCTGTGTATATGGACAAAGTGACTTTGGTAATTGAATTTAAAAGACCACAAACTCAATCTTCACATTAGGAAATATGATGCAGTTTAGATCAAAATAATAAAATATTACTTGTTTACTTGTGAATCAGACATGGGTGAGGAGGGATGAAGAAACAAAGAGACTGAAAAAAAAGACTATCAGAAAAAAGGCACATACTTTAAATTAAAGGGAAAAAAGCTATTTCCACAGAACTCTCATATTTAATATTCCCAGGAGAACATAATTAGATGATATTTTGATTAGCTTTAAAGTCAGAAGATAATTATTCTCCAGCTAGCCCATATATTAATAAGGCATATAATATGCAATAGCATGTTATGAAAACTGACAAGTAAAATGTTCACCTTAGTATTCTAAGGCAAATATGCAGCTTATTGTATGATCGTGGCTCCTAGTTTTGTCAACATCTCATTACTGTGTTTATCATACATTCCTCAGAGCTTCTTAGACCCACACCCAACATAGTACGGCTTAATGGCGCTCATCAAAATGAAGTACAGTATGGTTTTAACAATACCTGAGCCTTGCATATTTATTAAATAAGAATGTGTTACCCTTCTTCCTGGTAGACTGTTGCTATTGTTTTAAAACAGGTTCTGTACTTGATCTGTCCAGGAACTGGCTGAGGGCCTTGAATCCTACTTTTGGCAACATCAAAAGGGATGTTAATAACTGAGGCTATTGTCCCCGAGAGAAGACCAATCCCAAATTTTCTTAAAAACTCCAACGCTGGATCCTAAAAGAAAAGAAGAACAAAATAACAGAAAAGGAAGTGGAAGCCCCTAAATAGGTTAAACACTATAAAGCAATATGTATTTAAGCAAAGCATTGCACTCCCTGGCACCCTCCTGTTATTTCAGCGGAACACATTAGGATTTCCTAGGCTGGAACTTGTTTTCTTGACAATCCCATTGGCTATGTTTTTACACATGGTCTAAATTGCTGAAGTACACATTTCCTCACACAGGATTTATAAACACAGTTCATAAAGAAAGACTGGTATGGCATATGGGGATGATTTGTATAATTGGGCTTCACAATGTACTTAGTATTACTGTATCAAAACAGGAGAAATTCAAGCACACTATTAGCTAATTGGCCAGAATATTTTACAAATGACAGCAACTTCCACCATGAAGCCTACTAAAATGCTCATTTGTGTGTGGACCCCCAAATGTTAAATTAAATCAAGGCTACTCTCGGTCTGCTGCTATTCCCCTCCAGGTTTTTTGCATTTATTTTCACGTGTAGCTGATCCACTGTACTGAGAAGTGCTAGCTTCCTGTTATTAACAAACCAACTTGGGGTGGCTGCAAAACAGCCTGTGACATTCTGTGCATTATAAACAGTAGTAAGTCACTGGACTAATTGGCTGAAGAATTTACAACCCATTGTTTCTGAATCTTATTCTCGCTTCATGGCAAAGGAAGAAAAGGAAAGAGGCAGCAGGAGAGAGAGAGAGAGAAATAATATTTCTTCTTTCCATTTGAATTTAGGTCCTGCAAACTGGTCTGATTTAATTTTCCACACTCCCTGCTCTGTTTTCTGACATCAAAGTATTTAATTAGGTCTTATGTGGGAGTCACTTTCCCTCAGCCTATTTTTATGCCCAGTGAGCTCACATTATGCTTTGTTATAATGAATTTGATGGGAAGTTCTCACTATGTTTTTGGCCTCAAGTTTTGCCTCGAAGAGAGCTCATGTCACATACCCTAAGCTGCTGACAGAGACCCCTCTTCCCTGTCCCTCTCCATGAAAGTGGGGAATATGCCAAGCACCCCTTCCCCTGCTCTGTCTTTTAGTCAATAGTTCAGAAGGAATCTTTGCAGAGGAACAATACAGGGTTGTGCCATGGTACTATTTTATCCAGCAGGAAAACTAAACGGGTGAAAACATCTCTGCATAATTTAAAAAAAAAAAAAAGTCAGGTCTGAGCATTTCATGCTTCTATCTTCCACGGAAGAAGAAAACTTTTTAAAGTTCTGAAATTTTCAACTAAACCAACGGCCAGTAACCATCATAGAAACTCCTGTGTGGCTAAATAGAGCAACGGATTCCGTAATAATGCTTGGATCTAGGCCATACAGGTGCTGGGTAGGTTTAAAAGGATTTAAAAACCAACAGGGTGTTTCAACATGAAAAACAATGCAGTGATGGCAGTATGAGTGAGGTGTGTTTAAATAGTCCCCACCCCCCCTTTTTCCTCTTTTACAAGGAGAGAAAAATCCTTTTATATTACCTTTCTCCATTATGGCATAGAAGCAAACTGGATGTGGTTGCTCAGGAAGACTGGGAACTCAGGACCAGCTCTGGTTGTCTGACCTCAGACGAGTTACCTAATCAGTGTTCCCAGTGTGTTGACGGGAAGTATTTAATACCTGCTTACCTATGTACTGTATGATTATTCTGAGAAATAAAAGTGATACTAGAAGTAAAAGTGCTATGAATGTTGTACAAGACTGGCAGAAAATGGAGTATTATTATGTAGCCTGTTTCCTAAAGACTCAAAGCACCCTGCCATCAGATGCTCTCATGGTGTCCCTGTGACACAGCCGAGCTGTCTTTCTTTTCAACTAAGGACAAGAGTGAAAACGATAATGTGTGTGTGTGTGTGTGTGTGTGTTGTCCTTTGGGGAAGTTTGGGGGACCTCTTTAAGTAGCCAGCCTCTCCCATTTCCTGATGTGTTTGCTGAGGATCAGAGTTGAGGACAGAGGATAAAGTCAGAAATTCAATGAAGGTCATTGTGCTTGAGACACTTTGTTGGAGATCAAAACTTAAGATCTCCAAATCATCATACTGTTCACTAGCAAGAGTACTAAAATGGGCCAAAGAAGTGAAGATATTTATGTCTCATGTGAATGCTCACCAAAGGGTGACCTCAGCAGGGGAGGATTTTAACAATCAAGTGGATAGGATGATGTGTTCTGTGGAAACCAGTCATCCTCTGTCCCCAGCCTCTCCCGTCATTGCCCAATAAGCTCATGAACAAAGTGGTCATGGTGGCAGGGATGGAGGCTATGCATAGGCTCAGCAACATGGACTTCCACTCCCCAAGGCCAACTTGGCTACAGCCACTGCTGAGTGCCCAACCTGCCCGCAGAAGAGACCAGCACTGTGTCTCCAATATGGCACCATCCCTCAAGGGGATCAACCAGCAACCTGGTAGCAGATTGAGTACATTGGACGGCTTCCATCATGGAAAGGGCAGCGTTTTGTTCTTTCTGGGATAGACATTTACTCTGGAAGTGGATTTCCCCCCCCCTGCATGCAATGCTTCTGCCAAAACTACCATCCGTGGACTCACAGAATGCCTTATCCACCATCATGGCATCCCACACAGCCTTGCCTTGGATTAAGGGACTCACTTCACAGCAAATGAAGTGCAGCAATGGGCACATGTTCATGGAACTCACTAGTCTTACCATGTTCCCCATCATCCTGAAGCAGATGGCTTGACAGAATGATGGAATGGCCTTCTAAAGAACAATTACGGTGCCAGCTAGGTGCCAATACTTTGCAGGGTTGGGGCAATATTCTCCAGGAGGCTGTATATGCTCTAAACCAGCATCCAATATATGGTGCTGTTTCTCCCATAGCCAGAATTCATGGGTCCAGGAATCAAGGGCTGGAAATGGGAGTGGGACCACTCACTATTACCCTTTGTGATCCACTTGCAAAATTTTTGCATCCTGTCCTTGTGACCCTATGCTCTATAGGTCTAGAGGCCTTAGTTCCAAAGGGAAGCATGCTCCCACCTGCAGACAACACTAATTTTCATTTACATCTTAAATTTTATAAGTGATGGGATAAGGGAGGGAAGAAAACAAAAATATTTTATATATTTGTATATAGATATATATACACACACACATACACATATAATAAATCAAGGAAGAAATACTGATAACAATGACAGTCCTTGTTTCTGCAACTGGTCACGTGGTTGTAACTGGTATTTAGAACTACCTTCTTGCACCACTCATTCCGTATTCCCTTTACCCTCAGCAAGCACCTCAGCTGGTTGTGGTTCTTTGCCTGGTTGAATGACCCAAACCTTTTATTCCTGAAGGGTCTGGGCTATTAGTAGTCATGTCGGAATTGAATTGCTGTAGTTTTCCATTGACTTTAATCACAGGGCATGGCAGAACTAAGAGATGCCCTGAGGGATCTCCTGTGTTCCAGACATACTCTTTTTTACCTCCATTATGCAACACCAATCTGATTTCCCCTTGGTAATCAGGATCAATCACACTAGCCAGTATGGTAACTCCCTTCTTTGGCTGCTGATCCAGAGGCATGAGTGTTGAACCCATGTTTTCTATACAGTGTTTTGCAGCACACAAATAAAGTCCCACAGTAGATCCCAAATCCACTTGTGCATCAGAATTTCCTGGAGGAGCATTACAAATACAGATGCTTGGGTCCTATCTCAGATCTGTTGTTGTTATTAGTTGCCATCAAGTCGATTCCAGCTCATGGCGACCCCCCGTGTCAGAGAAGAACTGTGCTCCAGAGGGTTTTCAAGGCTGTGACTTTTGGAATCGGGTCACCAGGTCTGTCTTCCAAATTGCCTCTGGGTGGGTTTGAACTGCCAGCTTTTCGGCTAGTGGTCCAGTGCTTAACCCTTTGAGTCACCAGGGATTCCCTAACTCAGACCTACTGGGTTGGAATCTTCTGGGAAGGTGCCTGGGACTTGCTTTAAAATTTCTTCAGGACTTCTGAAGCTGCCAGGCTGAAAATACTTGTCTGGGAATCTTGGATTTTGATGCCCCATGCAGACAAAGCTGATGGTCACTTGCAATCTCTGTGGGCATTCTAAACTAGTTGTCGTTGAATCAGTTCTGACTCATGGCAACCCCACATGTGTCAGAGTAAAACTGTGCTCCATAAGGCTTTCAGTGGCTGATTTTTCAAAAGCAGATCACAAAGCCTTTCTTCTGAAGCACATCTGGGTGGGCTCGAACCTCCAAACTTTTGGTTAGCAGCCCAGTGCATTAACTGTTTGTACCACCCAGGGACTCTGTGGGCATTCTGGGGAGGAGAAAAGTCCTCTTTGGATGACCAAGAGGGTTTCTTTCACCATTTGGCCTCTGGGTGCATGGTCAGTCTTTTCTCCTGATCCCATGGTCTGCTTTATGCTAGCAACCCAGTTTCTCTGCTCACTTCTGTTTTCTTTGCAATGTGTAACCAACCATCCTTAAATGAATGCAGCCTCTCAAATGTCTCTCCCACATGTCCCCGTGGCCGTTCCCACCTCTTTGGCTCTAGTTCCATTTCTCATTAGTCTCACCAGGTCCTGCTGTCTTTCTACTCTTCATCACAGTGGCTCCAGAGTTCTCTTTTTATAAAATCAAATATGTTCTAGTATTTCCCTACTCAAAGACCCTCGATAGTTCCCCAGTGCATGAAGAGTAAAGAAAGACAAAACTTCTCAATTTGACATTTGGTGTCTTTTCCACTATATGCTTCCAACTTAGCTTTCTAGCTACAGTTCCTACACTCCCCTGCCCCCCAACCCATATTATAGTTACACTGGTTAATTCATAATTATTCAAATATGACAACCACTTTCTCAACTCCATGACTTTCTTCAAACTACTCCTACAGTTTGGGATGTCCTTCTCCATCATATTTATCTATCGGCATCCCACACCTCTTTTAGGGTCTAGCTTAACTCTCACATCTTCCAAGAAATTTTTATGGATTGTCAAAATTGATTTTTCCCTCCCCTTTAC